CTTGAACAATTATTTCTAAGATGGCAATATGTAATCCATTAACTAGTGATTTCCTACTGTTCATTTTTTTTCCTGTAAATCTGTATAACTTGTACCCTTTCACTGCTTTTTTTTCTTTTCTCCTTAAATAAAATTTAAAAAAAAAAGAAAAAGAAAATTATAGAATGAAAATATTGAATGAATAATAGTCTAAAGCAGTTAAAAAGAGGAGATTATTAGAATAAATTAAAAACCAGGAACCAATGGTATGCTATATACAATAAAAATAAAATAAAAACAGAAAAATAAGAAAGCCAAATGCGATAATATGTGTAAGGTTGAAAATAAAAGCATTGGAAAACAATGTACAAAGTAAACACAATTTAATTAAAAGAAAATTGGAGTGGGTATAATGTCAGATAAAGTGAACATTATAGGAAATTTACCAGAGACAGAGGGATAGTACATAAGGTAAACTATATTAATGTTGAGAAATTACAAAATAAAAACAAGCATTAGTCTATGAAGAAGTCATAAAAATGTTAAATGTGTAGACTTTAAATTTCAATGTGGCCAAATATATGAAGTGAACACTAGTCAGAGACTTCAGCACCCCAAACTGTCAGGACATCTGCAAAGATACAGGAAAATTCAACAACATCCTCAAGGGCAAGACCTAATAAAATCTGTAATCAAAATATATAGGCAACAACAGCACTCTACCCAACAAGAATAGAGTACATATTTGTTATGAATGGAAACCATATCAATGTAGACTATGTTCTAGGTTTGTTATGGTTGGATCTGTTATGGTTTTGTGCCATCAAAGCTTATGTGTTAAAGAAAGCTTGATCTCCAATCACCAGTGTTTGGAGGTAGGGCCTTTGAGAGGTGAGTAAATAATGGGGTTTCTAAACTCATCAACAGATGACAATGGACCAGCCAGTAGTGACAAATGCAGATTTCTGAATCTGTAAGCCAAAATAAACTTTCCCTACTTTCAACGAAATTTCTCTAAACAAGCCCCACTGAATTTGCTGTAGCAAGCTAACTAACGTAGAACCATAAAGCAAGCCAACAAATTCTAAAAACTGAAATAATACAGACACTTCTAATAATCTCTGGATCTTAAGGGAAATTAAAAATATATTAGACTAGGTGAATATGAAATGGTACATATCAAACTTGTAGGACATACAGAGCTAAAACAATGCTGACAGGGAAATATATGGCACTAAATTCATGTATTAGAAAATAGGAAAAATTTCTAATCAATGATCTAAACTCCCATTTAAAAAATTAGAAAAATAAAAACAAATCAGAAAAGGAAATAAAGATAAGAATGTAAATAAATAACATGAAAACAGTAAAATAGAGAAAACAATGAAAAAAGCATGATTCTATAGACAAATAAAATTGACAAACAACTAACAAAACTGACAAAGAAGAAATGGAGACAGAAATTATCCAATATCAAAAACTTTAAAATGAGTTATAGACCCTGCAGTCATCAAAAGAGTAATAAAAAACTACAAACAACTCTATACCTATGAACTTGACAATTTAGATGAAATGGGACAAAGTTAAAAAAACAACCACAAACACCATATTGGGAAAGATAATTTGAATAGTTCTATAACTGTTAAAGAAATTGAATTTGTAATCCTGAGACTCCAAAACTCCACATCAAACATGAGCATGTTAATTGATGCATTAAAAAATTGATAAAATTGAACATCCTTTCATAATTTTAGAATTTCAAAAAAATAAGAAATAGTTCCTCAACTTGATAAAGATAATTTATTTTAAAAATCACAGCTTTATTCTTAATAGCAAAAAAACAGGAAGCAACATAATATATTTTTTTAAATTTTTATTTAAGGAGAAAAAAAAACAGAAAAAGGGTACAAATAATACAGAATTTCAAAAAAATAAACAGTAGAAAATCACTAATTAATAGATTATATATTGTTATTTTAGAAATAGTTGTTCAAGTTACATAATTAAAGCATACAAAGTGAACATTCAAACAGTGAGACTGTAAACAATTCTGTTCAATGATCCAACAAAAATTCAGTAATATGGTCATCTATCTTATACACTTAAATATACATGCAGTTATATCCTTTAGAGCAATTTCTTTTCCTCTCTTTTTTACAATGACAATTACACATTTTGAGTTTTATTACTCCCACAGTTCTTATTACTTTTTTTTTGAAGAGAATAAAACCAAATGTGACATAACTGAGTCAGTCAAATCAAAAGAATGGACACAGTACATGATGTAAAAACAGAATACAAGGTGATCAACAATGGTTGCCATAATGCCTCTTGCTATCTTAAAAAGAAATTGCCTATATCATCAATTATAATAAAATTGAACAAAACAGTACAGAGCAAAAGCAATAAAACTGAAACATTGGAAACATTACAAGACTTCAAAAGAAGATAATAGTCAAACCACCAGAATGGGCATCATAGTGATTCTTATTGTCTTCAAAGTAGTTGCTTATACCCTCAAACTTGATACTATCAAGCAAACAACATAATATTCTTTAATGGTAAATAGTTAAACAAACTGTTACATATTCATTCCATGAAATATTATTCAGCATCAGAAAGTATTGAACTGTTGAAACACAATTTAAGCACTGTCCAAAGACAGTGCATATTGGTAAGCTAAAAAAGAAAAGAAAGAAAGAAAAAAGGAAAAGGAAAGGCTAACCTCAAAGGATTTCATGCCATATAGTTCTTAAAGTAGCAAAATCACAGACATTGAGAAGAGATAGTTGTTACCAAGAGGCAAAGAGCCCAAGGTAGTGCTATCAGGATTTTTGTGGTGATAGAAAATGCTCATTTCTTGTTGGTATCAATATTGGTGATCTAGTGATGATATAGTTTCATAGTTTCTCAAGATATTATCATTGGGGAAAACTAGAAAAATGGTAAATGTTTCCCCTAGGTATTATTTCTTAACACTGCTTGTCAATTTACAGTAAGCTCAATAAAAAGTTAAACAGGAAAAATAAAATGAAATGGTTAGCATCTGTTAACCCGTAACTGGTAATATATAATAATGATACACACATGCATGTATACACATATGCCCATGCACACAAACTATGTATATACACTGTTGAATTATAATTCTCTGTAAATATATGTTTAAGCACCTTTGCTGGTTTATTATAAAATTTTTCTTTTCTTTTTTTTGTCTTTTTCTTTTTTATTGGTACCAGGGATTGAACTCACGACTACCTGCTTGCAAGGCAGGCGCTTATGCCGCTGAGCTAAATCCCCAGCCCCCAAATTCTTCTGTTAGATATTATTCTATCACATTTTCTGAGGATGCCATAAAATGTTGCCATATTGGTAGATGGGAATTTTTTTTGTAAATTATTCACAAAATGTTTGCCAGTCCTTTATAATTTTAAAGAATGTGATACAAAATTTATTACTTCATGGATTACAAAAGCCTAGCAATCAAAATTCTGCAGTTTCCATGATAGTAATGTAGTTGTAAATGTTCTCCTCTGTATAGTCCTTAGCTCAGAGATCTGAACAAAGTAGTTGTCAAATGCATGTGGTTATTTAATGGTTGAGCGAATTTGATCAAAAATGGTGGTCACTATTTCTAGTACCAGAAGAAATTTCAGTTCTTTAGTGTGAAAAAAGCGTATCTTGATTTCCATTGGTGATCCCTAGTGTCAACTCAGTTATTTACATACTCATTTGTTGGAAATAAATGCTGTGTCATAGACTAAGTTCTAAGGAAATACCTTTGTATTACCTCGCTTACTACTTTCACTGCAGCATTCCAGAATGTTAGTATCTCTTAACATCAAACTCACTTTCAAACATTATCTTTTAATAATGAATTAGTCATATCATCTATATTTATTTGTTATATATATATATAATAGATATGTTAATATATTTATTAACATTAATGTTTTAAATATTCAAAATTAACATGAAATAAAATACTGTTAAATTATTTGTCTGTGTTAATTCTTAGAAAAATAGTGATAGTTTTGTTAAACTAATTCATGAAATGATTGGTATTTATCTTTTTAACAAGTAGGAAAGATAGTCATGTTTAACTTTTCTCTGAGAAACAGCTCTATAGTAGAATATAATTTCCCGAAGAGGTCACTAATCATTTTTAACTTATAATTTTCTTTTCTGTTTTATTTTCTTTTTTGGTACCAGGAATGAAACTCATGGCCTTGTGCTTACCAAACAGGCACTGTGCCATTGAGTTATGTCCCCAGCCTACTAACAGCTTTTAAATTTTATAGTTCAGATGTAAATAATGCAGTGAATTAGGTCAGATGTAAATAATGCAGATTTCAAGAATGTGCTCATTGTGACTAATTCTATGGAAAATATTTCTTTAATGTTAATTACAGTTATGGTGGTAAAAGTTTCTCATATAATCTAATATTGCTTCCTCATGAATTCATATTACCAAATGTTGGCTACATATTTTCTCCTTTTAAAATAAACTTTCTGATTTATTATTAATTTTATATCATATTTATAGTCCTGTTAATGCCTATAATATGAGAAAATATACTATTATTTTATGTATTTCTAGAGAAGATTGAAAAGAAATAATCTAAATTCATTACTTCTGTACTCCTTAACATACATCAAGCTTGAGATTATAATTTATAGGTATTAGAATTTTTAGAACTTTTAACACTGTGAACTTCACTATATTAAAGTGTTTTCTTTACATGTAGTGTTAGACGTCCTTGCAAGATGATATTTTAAGTGACATTTTCTAGGAATGCTTTCAAAAGTAGCTTGAAACAAAGTAGGTCCTTGCCAGTAGTTTTAAAATAATTTTCCTCCTCAAACATTTATATTAATGTAAACCTTCTGTTGTCTCTGATTAATTTGATCTTTATCTTCCAGCGTATTTTATATAAACTAAAGCAACACTGTCTTTGTTGGGATTTTTTTTCCAGTATGTTTTAAACAACCATGATTTTTTTTTCTTTTTTGCCTTCTAGGTGCGAGGCCCTCCAACTGCCGGTGCATTTAAAGAAAGACCAACCAAGCCTACAGCCTTTCGAAAATTTTATGAGCGAGGAGACTTCCCAATTGCCCTTGAGCATGATTCGAAAGGAAACAAAATAGCCTGGAAGGTAAGTCAGCGCACAGCTGCCACAGCCAGCTGCACGTGCTGAAGACACAACCAATGCCAAATCACCTTGGCGGCTAAGTAAATAAGCTGGAGTAATTTCTCAGCAAATGGACAGTGGTGGGTGAGCTCTTAGAAAGCCCCTCAGTGTCAGCCGTCCACCTTGACTAACAATTAAATTATAGCCTGCAAAGAAGAAAATGACAGAGTTGCTTTGCCTTAGAGAATTGTCTGCTGCCCAATTCATCTCTATTTTTATGAAAACCTTGGCAGCACAGCCCGTTTCAGGCAGTCCATCAAATGATGGAACTGGCGGCAGGATGGGGAGAGCAACAGCCATTTATCTCCCCTAAATTTCACCTTCTTGCAGGACACTTCCAAATGGAAGCTTTAGTTACCTAAATGGATAGGTCAAGATTGTCTGCTCCCTGGAAATGCAGGGCAGAATACAAAAGAGGCTGCTCCTAGGTGCTGGGCATGCTCTGCACCCCACCCCTATCTGCTGCCCAGGGCTTGTCACACTGCCCTGTTAGAGGCTGACCTCTGCTGAAGCCATTACAGCTCCCAACATTTTTCTGACAAAAGGTTAATTGGCTTCAAAATAAATGTATTGCCTAATGACTCCATCTTAATGTGACTGTGTTTCTTTGTAAAAGACTCACTGATATTATTTGTAAAAACTTGCCAAACTTTTAACCAGGGCTAAGGCTTTTACATTTAATTTGACAAATGAATGTTGATCTCTGTAACCACTTCTGCACTTTAACTGTTTTTGTTACCAGTGCCTGTGCTTTTGGTGATATAGATCCAGCCAAAAACACAAAAACAAAAACCAAAAACCAAAAAACGGGGCAGTATACACACTACAAAGCCCTTACAAACATTCATCACTTCAGGTCAGGAAAATACAAGATATGACCAAGTGGCAGTTAATTTAAGCAACTGATATATTTTAACTGAAGAATGCAGACACCATGTCTGAAGCAACTGCTTGTACTTATTAACAAATAAGTTGTGTTAAAATTAAAATTATTAAAGAATTCATCAAAATAAATACTTTAGAAAGATCTATTAAAATTAACTTTTCACTTCTATAGAAAGGCTGAAAGTATTGTATCATATCTATTATGTCGTTTTCAAATACTTTCATATTATCAGGAAACTTTTCTAAATCTTGAGTAGTTATATTCAGTTTCAAATTTGAATAAGTCACAAAATAATCTTGTTATAAATTTTTCAAAGACAGGATAAGGGAAAATTATTATCTTCTTTGTACTAATCCTTATTTAAAGGTGAATATGTTATGTGAAAATATTTGTATGGGGAAAATATATACCAATTATAACTATTTAGACATTTCAGTCTTAACATATTCCCAAAATTTTGTTGTGATTTTTTTTTTGGTTCATTTATATTTGATTAATTGTATGGATATTATATTTGCTTGTTCACTTACTGATTCACATATAACAGAGGAATTTCTTGATAACGTGATTTCTGCCAAAATTATGAGGTATGTCTAATTTTTTTTATAAAACATGTTTTTGGTATTTTAAGTAATTATAACCTATTTGTAAATTGCCTTTAGTGAAAAGTATTAATATAGATTTGTCTTGACTTATTCAAATAACTTCGTGAATAACATTTAAGTACCAAGAAATTAGAAAAAATCATCTTGAAAAGAAAATTATTAATAAAAATATGGGAAGAATCACTTTGCTTTTTATCTTTCATGATCCAACCTAGTCAGTAGGCCTAAAAACTGATTTTTTTATGTTTATACTAATTCTTTTAAACTGTAATTGATTATAGTACCATTTCAACAAGTTAAAAAAAAAGAATAATAAAGACGGAACGATTTATATGCCTTACTGGTGGTATAACGTCGTATATTTAGAGAAAAACCTTGTTCCAGTTTTAGTATATGTGCTGCCAAAATGAGTACAAGAAAAGTCTAGAACGTGTCAACTTTTAGCTCTTAGGGCTTTGGTAACGTATTTCAATTACATTACTATAACATTGAAAATAAGACATTAAACATACAGTTGTGATCATTCAGCATATTCATATTTACTCCTTGGCCCATTTACAGTGAGCACAATCTGGGACTAAATAAGAGTAGTGAACTTATTTAGACACCATTCCTGAGGAAGGGCCTAGAATGTTGAATGCAGCAGGGGCCCTCCCTCATCCTTAACGCTAAAAAACAAAAAACAAACCACCACCACCTCAGCCCCCCAAAGGCAGCTGAGTTCTCTGGGTGGAGAGCATAGTTCTCTTGTGAAGCCCACTTTAGCCTTTCCTCAGCTAAGTATCTTAGCTTCCCCAGGAAAACATTGGCCATCTTGAAACACTCCTAGATCAACTTTGAAACTCCTAAGGGGATTGTGATTGCCTGAAACAATGTACATAACTGAGTAATAAGAAGGCCTTTTCTGTCACCAAAATTTTGAAAGGAGTGAGGCTCTGAAATACTTAAGACTGACTCCAATCAGTGATGCTAAAGGCTGTGCTCAGTCATCTCAATGTTGTTCCAGTCTGTAAAGTTGCAGCTGTAGGGATTCCCTTTCTATTTATTCAGGATTTACTGATCCAATCATCTCCATATTAGAAAACATGATGTATTTTTGAAATAACAAAAGCACATTATGTTAGAGTTTTCTGGTGCAATAGAGAAGTGAAAAGTAAAAAAAGAAAAAAATGGGTTTATTAAGGATGTGGTGGGTCTGGGGATTTAGCTTTGCGACATAAGCACTTGCCTTGCAAGCAGGCGGTCATGAATTCCATTCCTGGTACCAATAAAAGGTTAAAAAAAAAAGTTTAAAAAAAATGGCTCATGCCTGTAATCCCAGCACTTGGGAGGCTGAGGCAGGAGGATCGTTGTGAGTTTGAGACCAGCCTGGGCTACAAAATGAGCTCAGGGCCAGCCTGAACTGCATAGCGCGAGAACCCTGTCTCAAAAAAGAAAAAAAAAAAAAAAAAAGGATGTGGAAAGTGCTAGGATTATTTCCAAAAGACAAAAAATATTTCCAAAAGATGAGAAATATAAAATAAAAAGCGGCCTTTATTCTGAGAACACGGAGAGAGATGACCGGCACCCCCACCACTGGCATCCGGCTATCTCTCCGGTGGACACATGGCATGGGGGCATGTAAATAGCCTCGGTTTGGGGTGGAACCTAAGGCAGGCATAAGGGATGTACTGGTAGCCCATTGGTCCTAGGTTTGGCACCATATGTAAATTTCCAGGGGCGGGAAGATGGCGTCACAGGTAACTTCCTAGGGGCAGGGAAGATAGGGGCTTCCTGCTTCCGGTTGAGGCTTTCCTTGGCTACAGTGTCCTGTCTTGGCCAAAACCCTTTCATATCCCATCTTATGATTATTATTATGAAAAGAGGCAAAGATTTCTCTCTTTACCTACTTCCTGCTGGCAGAGGGCACTGTACTGTAGCCTAAGGGAGTCGATGGGATGAAGGTTGATGCCCAGGTAGACACTGGTGCCAGGTGTTTTAGCCAGGACAACTTCACTGGTAAATGCACGTATGTCAGACTGGAAAAACAAAGAGACAAGATGTATAAGGAGACATGGCACTGTCATATTTAAGGACCCAAGTGAAGTAGAGGGAAAGGTGCCTTTGATTTAGACATGTTGCACGGTAAGGCACAATTCTGAAAATTAAACGTGGGGTTAGGAGGAGTGGAGTTATGAGAGGTGATTACTCCCCCATCTGAAAGCATAAAAGTTAAGAGGGTAGGTGTATAAAACTTGTCTCCAGTCCAGGACTTGAACTGGAAAAAATAGGGGGAGCAGGGAAGGCAGTGGCTGTACCAATATAGGGAAGATAAGGGCTTAGGCTTTTAGGGATGTCACATTTAACCAGACAGCTGAGGGTAGAAAGAACTGCGACTGTTATCATATAGAACATTATGAAGATTATCTTACGCATGATGTGGGAGTCTTTAGGAAAGACTGTCAAGAGTCCTGCTGTAAAAATGATCATTAATAGAATTTAAGAAATTAGGAACCAAAGTGGATAACAAAACATGACTTAGCCTGTTAACTGTGGCTGCGAGGCCTTTGTGAGACAGAGATGGGTAGGCGACAGAAGATGAGATGACCACTCAAATTGATCAGATTTAGGGCTTGAGTGATGCAAAACCAGAATGGCAGTCTAGCAACTTTGATTTAGGCATGGGTCACTGTAACCTGGTTGTATCAGCAGTTTACCTGGTTGTGGGAAAGGCTTTTATGTCTAGTGAAAAAGTATAAACAAAGTGAGAAGACAAAATGCATCTGTCAGTCTTGACCAGGGTTGTCTGAGAAATTGGTGAGTAAGAAAGGAAGGGGGTGGTCTATATCACTGAGGAAGGGTCCACCAGTGACAACAGGTGGAAGCTGTTGAGGCCTCAGTGTGTCTAAGTCAGCCTGTATAAAAGGCATTTTAAGATTTAGGACTGGGACCTGCACAAAATAGGCCCTGTTTGTAAATGGCATAGGTTGACCATCAATACCCTGTCATAGAGATTGAGGACTTAATATAGCAGCCTGAATACTCAGGAAGAACTCTGTATATATGGCCTCTATGTCCACAAATATAGAGAATGTCTTACCTGAGACTTTAGTGCGACTTGGAATCTGAGACAGACACCTTAAAGGGGGCTGTTGTTGCCTTGAACCCCCTCAGTCTTCAGCAGCAATTTTCTGTTGGTGACAAATCTGGCAAGGTTGACCTTTCCTGTGAGGGCTAGAAGTTAGGATGACTTACCCACTCTGTGGTGGCTAGGACCGTCCAGTAGCCCTGGAGTAAGGTCTCAAAGAATGCCAGGAAGGGGCATTTTCTTGCCCAATGTCTTCTGCTGCATTTGAGCGTGGTCCATGAAGAGGCCAGGCAGCTCCACCTTGTGTAGGTTTACCTGTCTCAGAACTCCAAGTGTCACAAGTGTTAAAAATATGAAAAACCATATTAAGACCTCTCTAAGGTTTGAAGGTCAAGTTTTGCCTTTT